CATTCTAATATGCTGATTTGCTGATCAAGAAACATTTCTTCTTATGTTGAAAACAGCTGTGCTGCATGATATTTCTGTGAAAACAATGTAAAAGTCTTTCCTGCCACTTTTGATCAATTAAATGTGTCCCTGCTGCAAAAACTTTGCGACCACAAACCTTTAAACAGCTGGGTATATATAACACACATATAGTAATGAAATACATATCGTTACCTTTGCCAGAAATATCATAGACAGAAGTGTCTTTTCCACGGTTATCACCCAGCACAGCTTTGTAAATTCCCTGGTCTTTTCTGGAGAACTGTTGGAACAAAAAATAGTTACTTAATTAATAGGCTGCTGCATTTATGTTAATGCTTTCTAAACTTTGATCTCTGAAGCGCCGGTTATCATACCATGGGGATTGGAAGAGAGCAAGATCCAGACATTGGGTTTGGTGGAACATCAACGGTAATTTCTTCATCCTCTTTAAACCAGGCAAATGTTGTCTCTTTCTTCACATTGGCCAGCTACAGTGTAAACAATACTGATATGAGACTCTGCTATCAATGTTAAATAGTCCTTAAAATGCTGGATTGCATTTACCTTGCACACAAGCATCACTGTGCAGTCATCCATCACATGGAAAGACAGGTATTCTGAGAAGTGAGGGCCTGAGAGAACCAGAATAATACAACAGATTAATAAATGAAAACTGACCACATATTACAAACAATACTGACAATATGGGGTACATGTTTTTTTTTGTGGTATTTACATTGCTTCACAAACCTTGTTTTCTGATGTGCTCTTTTCTCTGGAAATCAGCTTCCTTCAGAGCAACTTTGAATGCTAAGATTAGAAAAATACAAAGAACATTTGCTCAGAGAGTTTTTATAGTTCTGTAGTTATCCCACAACAGCATTGTGACTGGACTTTTACTTTTAGACACTGTTAAGCCCTTACCATCTCCCACAAGAACCAGTGAGCTTTGACTCTTGGCCTTGCCATCGTGGATCTGAATGGTGTAAGTGCCTTCA